GCAGACACTTTTTCGGAATATCGGCGGACAAGCCGGGGATATGCAGCGTTATTCAGAGTCAGCAAACTACATCCAAAGATGCTTGATTACTTTCGAAAGACAGTAAAGAAAGAAAAATAAGAAATGATAAAAATCAAACTGGCAAAAAAGCATACAAAAATTACCTTGTACACAGTAGCAGTCGCTCCAACTCCAATAGCATCTTCCAGCACATAATTTTCTTTCTTATTCGGCCACACTGCAGATTGGCCTTGTTGCTGTGCCGATGCTGTACCGGCTAGACTGGCCGCGGTCATCACAGTCGACTGTTGATGTAGCGCTTCACCGGATGCGCTGTTCACCATCGAATTGGCCAACCCGGCACCGCCTCCACCGGCGGCAGCCACTACGCCACCACCTCCACCTTCAGTCGACCCCATCTGAAATGCACTTACGAACATTTACAGAAATCGATAGATCGCTACGATCAACACACGGAGAAAGAACGATGAACAATGCAACGACAACGATTGATCGAACTTTATGACTCGAAAGAATTTGATATGCATCGGGGTGACAAGGACAGTGTAATTAAATGGAATTGGTCGCGATCACAGAGTTCAAGCCAGAAAAGAAGCTTGTCGGAATAAGTGGCGTCTTCTGATGGAATGAGAGTCATCAAAACCGCTTTTTGGACTTTGAAGAGTGTGGAAAAAGAGACAGAATGATGGCCAAAATGGAAGGCAGCATAGGATTTGGGAAAGCAGATCTACAAAGTGGGAATGTTAAAATATCTTATTCAACTTCATTCGAGCCTCATTTCAAGGCTTAGGATGGGTCTGATAACTAGACTACATTATTTGCTAGCACTTGTATGCGCGAGTCATTTGCACCTTATAAGTGTCCTTGCACACTACACGCGGTGGCTGACGAACCGTCGCTAGTAACTCCTCAGCAAATATTTCCCAAGGCAAATGTAGAACTGTGTACTACTAACTTACACATCTATTCAAATTGAAAGGTACAAAAAAA